ATACTATGAATTTTTGTGGAATTTTCTTTGCTTTTAAGTTTTTAGTGAATTTGCGATGCAAGCAAACCAGTGACAAATTACTAGTTAAGTATATTTCAATCTACTGCATAATTATTCCATCTTGATCCACTCAAACATGTCTCAACTTTTATTCGCATCGCATTTCAGCCACTCTGCTTTCCCCGCGACACATTGCATGCACTTCTTCATTCAAGAAAATTAATTTGTCCAAATAGTGACACTTTTTATATAGCGCATTTTCTCATTTATGGAAAAATGCACTATTTTGCTCGCCATGTCCGTCCGTCCGTCTGTCTGTCTGTCCGTCTGTCCGTCCGTCTGTCCGTGGCCTCGAGTTTTCGTCGACGAGAAAATGCGCTCTGTCACCCACTGCAGTGAGTACTGAGTTATATTTTTTCTAATTTACCACTGGTACGCCCTTTTCGTCTAGGGCAAACTAGGTCAGGATGATCCATGCAGGGTAAAAAGTGCATCGCTATGTGGACGAAGTTTCGCTCATTACTCTGAGTGCTCCCTTATAGCCTCCCCCTGAATCCCTAAAGATCGGTCCCCATATATTCAAGAAAATGAATGGTTAGTTTGTCTAAATAGTGACACCTTTTAGCGCATTTTCTCATTTATGGAAAAAATGCACTATTGTGCTCGCCATGTCCGTCCGTCTGTCCGCCTGTCTGTCTGTCTGTCCGTCCGTCTGTCCGTGGCCTCGAGTTTTCGTCGACGAGAAAATGCGCTCTCTGTCACTCACTGCAGTGAGTACTGAGTTATATTTTTACTAATTTACCACTGGTACGCCCTTTTCGTCTGGGGTAAACTGGGTCAGGATACGCCTACTTATTCTGGGATAAACTGGGTCAGGATGACTCACATAGGGTAAAAAGTGCATATAGCTATGTTGACTAAGTCTCGTTCATTGCCCTGAGTGCTCCCTTATATGCAGGCTCCCCCTGAATCCCTAAAGATCGGTCCCCATATATACCATTCTTTTTTCCCAAACCCCCGCCCTCCTAATTCCCATATATCACCGGGGTCCCGACGGAGGGTTCCATAAATCAGCTCATTCTTGGCTGCCCATAAACCCATATTTTGGTTTATGCCGCAGCTCCCTTGACGCGCATAATTTAGGCAGCCGACACTGGATACGAGACTTGCTGGATTTGCTTAGAAAATATTTATTTGCAGCAGATTTCATTTGAAGGGACTCTCATTTATTTCATTTATTTATTTGAATGTTTGGAAATTTGCAATTAATACGTTGCAGCCGACACGGGATTCGAGACTTGCTGGATTTGCTTAGAAAATAAAAAATATTCAGATTCAGATTTCCTTAGAACTAATATTTATTTTTTATTCATTTGAAGCAGATATGTAGCATATAGGCAGTAAAACCGTATATAAGAGACTTAGAAAGATTACATGTTTAAGAAAAGGAAGATTGCAGATGAGAATCACTTAAACATTTTATTTTCAATGGAACAACGGCTAAACGTACGTTGTAAACAAAGTTTTTGCAATGGGCTTTTATTTTGTTCAAGCCGATGCCCTGCTAATGTTATTGTAATTTTTTAAATAATATATGGAAATTTGCAATACGTTGTAATTTTTTACAGTTTTTATGCCTTGGTTGATCGATCAAGCTGGGTTACATTCAATATAAAATTTTTGACCGCAAAATGGTAACTCATTTTAACTTTGGTTAATTATAGAAACCCCAAACAATTTCACTGAATCATTTTTAATGCTAGAAGAAAAGTAGAAAAAATATTTTGCTAAAATAAAGTCACCCCATACACAAAATTCGTAGGTCATTAATATAATGTCCAAAGTCTTGAGTAATCTTAGAATGGAATTAATAATTCTCATTCACTCCTCGCCTCGACTCTTAAGTTTCGGTTCATTGCCTTAACATGTCCCTCGTCCCTTACGCGGCTTTGAATTTTAATAAGGTTTTCAATATTGTATTGGAATATTCTCGATGCTTTTCTCAGCCCATGCAAACTCCTGTGACCGAGAATCGTGGCTGGAGCGTCGGACGACATTTTTTTTTATTTTTCGGTAGAATTAACTGAAACTTATTAAGTTATTGTTACCGATGCTTTTTTGCCTATAACACAACGTTAAAATTGTGAAATTGTGTTTTAATAAGGTTTTCAATATTGTATTGGGATATTCTCGACGCTTTTCTCTGCCCATGCAAACTCTTGTGACCGAGAATCGTGGCTGGAGCATCGGACAACATTTGTTTATTTTTCGGTAGAATTTACTGAGATTTATTATGTAATTGTTACCGATACTTTTTTGCCTATTACACAACGTTAAAATTGTGAAGTCAATAGTGGACGCTAAAATTATAAGCATAGTAGATATTATGATCAAATTTTAGCGATGAATCGCACATTGCACATTGTGAGAGATAACAATTGCACAACTTCACCACATGTCTACTTAATAATTCATTCAAATTTATATTAAAACAAACGTCGAAAACTTGACATTTTTCATTAAAAACTAACTCGAGATTATTACATTACTCCGGTAGAGACGCCTGCTATGTGCTTAAAAAGAATAGCATTATGGCAACCGCATGCGGCCGCCATTATGTTTTAATTCTGCCTCACACTCTACGGACAATTCACACATGTTTACAACAATGTCCCAAAACTTCCACAACTTTACCACGTCAATAGACGTTGTACGTTGGAATATGAGGCGTTGGAATATTAGTAATCATATTCCATAACATTTGCCAAGCACTTCTATAATTTTTTTGTTCAAAAAATAAATTAGTGCAAAGAAAAAAACAAGTAGTTCGTAAGCAATGAGAGATGCCTATTAAATTCCTGTGCACTTTTTATCTTCACATGTCATTAGATGATATTTTTAGACATATTTGTTCCATGCTCTAATTTTTTCAATTGAATTTCATTAAGATAGCTTTCCACGTTATCATATAATCAACCCGACAGGAATATTATTATGTATTTTTCATCTATAACCTTACCTGCAAACGTTCAACCTATACATGCGTTCACATATCAATGGCGCTATATATTGTTGTCTTGCACGTCTTCAAACGAAATGCAAACCCTACTTAAATTTTTCTGCTCTTAATTGTTTTGAAAATTTGTAAGTTTCTTTCATTGTCAATGTCTTAATTTGTCTTATTCTGTTCTTAATTATATACTTCTGATAGTTAATTAAATTCTCATTATGTTTTAAACATTATATAGTCAAATTAAATTCCAAAGAGTTGCTCATATGAGGTGGAGCTCTAATGCCGACACCACAAAAATCTGCAACTGGAATCTAAACGAGATTCCAATCACAGTTCAAATATTATAGAAAATATGAAGTTGTGAATTATAATATATAGTGCGGACCAGCTATAGTGCATGCACTGTTCATTTTGGTAAACTGATTGCTGAATATTAGTGATTACAATTCATGATTATTAGTGAGCATAATACCATGTATAGGCTGAGTTAGAGTATCTCTGGGCCTATAACAACGTCAGGTTAAAGTGCACTTAAAATTTAGTAATTGGCACTGTAATTCCTACGCAATTTTGGCCCTTAATTGACACTGCTCGTTTTAATTCACACGCCGGTTGGATTTCGACCAGGTTGATTAATTAGTAGAATTAATTAACTGATTCATTTTTAACTAAACCAATGCCTGCTGAAGGAAACTCTCTCTATACTATAGGCATTAATTTACGTATAGAATTGATCACTCGCATAATCTATTCATTGGCAAAGAGTTAAATTTCTCGCTATAAATTGCTATCACTCATCAATTATCACAATCCCCAAAACATTACATTTTCAGTTAAACTTAAAGGAATATCACAAACGTGCCTTTAATTCGCTTTCAATCATTATTATCACAAATACGAGGATTCTGCTATCATTTCTAACCCTATATACCTGATCAGTAACATTTATCCACAACACAAGGCCTATAAGCAATGGAAAGTAAGACTAATTTATTAACAATGACCAATGACTAAAACTATTGATTCAAATATATGTACGGCCCGCATTCATTCTCTCATCGACTGATTTTCATTAGAATTTGTTGGTAAGTAGAGAATGGCAAATGTTTCACAAACAAACTTAATTGATTGGTGTACGACGGAAAAGTTTTATAAAGTTAAGTTTAAAATATAATACACTCCTTAAAACTTACTGTCATATGTACTCAAATTCAATGGAAGGCAAACTTATTTATTTTCAGCTGCCACTGTGTCATGCCTTAACATTTCCTCGGTCGCAACAACTATATAACAAAAGATCGCGTTTAGCTCACGAGTATTTAAGCTGCTCCCAAATTGAAAATTAAAGCCGGTCAGTTGGGCACATACACGGCCAGCCATAAACCGCCCATGATGCTCAATTGGATAAGAGTGCACGTGTGCACGTGTGGAGGCGTGAGGGACGCATTAAAGCTAATCTATTTCGCCACGGCAGAGACCACGGATATACGGCCGGACCGTGATAATTAATCTACAAATTTGGAGCAGCAAAATGTAATAATTTTGACGAGATTTAAGTAGGAAGACGAATTTTAATGGTGATAGTCATTCACTTTGGCATAATTGAAGTAGAAGAATGGATATTGATTGTAACATTCATACACTTTGACAGAAATTGGAGGTGAAAAATGCATATCAATAGTAACATTTATACTTTAGGTACAAATTCTTCTATCAATCAGCACTCAACTATAGAAGGCATCAAATTCTCAACTCTTTGGGTTATTGGTCCAGAAAATATACGTAAAATGACCGCAGTAATTTATGTGATGAAGTTATAACTTTGAGTACCGTTAAAATGTGTGCTGATGAAAATAGTAGCTATACTAAAATTATTCTAACGTCAATCTTGTTTTGTTTTCTTTAACCCTAATGAGATAGAAACGATTAGAATTACACGAAAATATTATTAAATTTTTAAAATTAATTTTGTATTTATTTTTTGCAGTTGACTGGCTTCCACACATCGGATAACCCCGCGTTCCCTCAGTCCCACTCCCCGTACTCCCCTCACACAGACCCTAGAGGGGCGGTCCAGCAGCCGCCCCCTCGGTCTTCCTCATCGAACGGACGTCATTCCCTCACTCCTGGCTCCCCAATGGCGGTTTCCCCGACCTGTGGGTCCCCGAGCACGTCAACCCAAAGCTCGTATTCCCCATTTAACATGTCGCAATCCCCACATTTCACCCCATACCAATCAGATGCTCCCCAAAGAGGGTTTAGTGAACCTCTCTCAGCGAGATCGTTTATAGACCAGCTGCAACATCAATTCTATCAACAACCCCAACAGTTGGGGTTCAGTGGTCAATCCCCACAACAACTTCCCCACCATCTTTACCAGCCCCAAATTGGCCCCATGAGAGGGGCTGAACAGGGCGCGACGCCCCCCTTGCTGCCAGATATGAACTTAGTGAGACATCCGTACTACAACATCAATGCCGGTAATCATGTCGCTTCCACCGGTACTCAAAATTTTACTACTGGTGAATGTTAGTTATACATGGTTAGTGATAATTATGAACGGTGAATGCTAGTGATGTATGTTAGGTGCTAGTGATAAATGACTCTTTAATTTAGCTAAAGATGACCGAAAATAATTGTGCGATCGAGCCTTGTTAAGCTCAGTTCATTTTTCGATGTCGCTGATGGGAGGCGATTGGTAGCCGTCAAAAGCGGTGCTTGCAGCATGGCTTGCGTCGGTGTCCCTATAAACAAAGTCTGGGTACCTAATGCTTGGGGATACGGTGAGTGCTAATGATACATGGTGAGTGTTAAAAATCTATATTGAGTGCTTCGTGTGCTTGCACACATGGGTGGATGTGTGAGTTGTAGCAGTGCAGTTGTAGGAGAGTTAAAGCAGATTGTTGCGATCAATCCTACTTGATTGTTGTGATCAATCCTTGGATTGTTGTGATCAATCCTACTCTTGTACTTCCGTACGTCATGAATGTCGCCATGTAACTGTTGATTGAATGGAAGCTATTACGGATAGGTGTAATTGAATAATTTACGGTCAATTCACCACAGACTGTGGTTTGATTGAAAATTTCATCCTATGGGTTGACTCATGTGAAGTGCCGAGAAATTTCGCTGTATGTCAAAAAGTGATAAAATGATGGCATAATCCATGTGGCTTTCATCGACGTACAAAATTAGGCTAGGGTGGAATGAACCCATGACTTGATGATGCAGATGTTTAGATTAAAAATATAAATTTATTTGCAAAAGAATTTGGTATACATCGTCTAGATAGATATTGATTTGTAGATATCTAAATTGAGATTTCAATTTTTACGTTTGAGATTGAATGAAGACTGACATTGGAGGTGAAAATGGCCCTCAGCAAATTAGTACAAGCTACAGTGTAAAGTTTACACTGTATCTGTGATACAAATATAATTAGTTTATGCTCTATTTTTACAACAATGTTAAATTAAAACATATTGAGGGTTTTCGTGAACATGATATAGTTAGTGTCCTCTTGTTATTAGAAAGGGAATTTCTTGAGCCAATAAAAATACTTAGCAGTTACCGTTTAACATTAACAGTTAATATCGATTCTTCAGCTAAATATGCCCCTGCCATTCGTCATGTTCGCAAATTGGATAGCGCTAAATAAAATACATAATTTGCGCAATCATTGGCGGAAAAGTTGTTCGCTTGTCTTCAGCTGATAATTAGGGAAATTGGGCGAATTATTTTCTTATTTCAATTCTGGCTGCCTACAGATTGCGTAATTTTTTTAGTTTGGGACCTTTTATCCGAAGACAAAATCAAATTTATCATAAAAATATAACTAAACTGAACTGATTACTCCTAAATCAATCGATAATTATATTTATCGACAAATCTAGTGACTGCTCAGAAAGTTTTCGGCCAATTAATCCCCAGCTTTTTAGGTTAATTTAAGTTAAAATTTGTGTATAGCTAAGAATAAATAGCCGTGAATGCTATTTTTATAGCAACGATTATTCTTCGTTGAAAAAATTTATTGCAAGATTTATCAAAAAAATGTAAGGAATTGCGCCCATGACTAAGAGATTGTAATTGGTTGAATATTCGCTTTATTAAGTTAATTACACAAATTGCATTTACTTACAAAGTTAATTCAGCAACAAAAAAACTTGCCATGTGTTGCCGTAATTCTGCTGCTGTATATTGACTGAAATTCAACATAATAGATTATTATTGATAGACAAAGATGAACTGCCAAATATCACGAATTATTTAATCATTTTTAGTTAGGCCAAAAAATATTTGAACGTCATTAGTTTAGTTAGGCAAAAATATATGAATCTTGAGGGCTAAAAATCATACTTTCAATTTGTCATTACTAATTCTCCAATGAGTGAATTTTCAACAGTTTTTATTCATAAACTAATCTTAAGTTTCTTACTTTATTTCGCCTAACTTTGAAGCATAATTGAAGTTAGTGCTGCAATAAATCCATAAATATTTAAGCGATTGTTACTGTTTGTATACAATTTCATTATTGTTTATAATAACAATATATGGGACCTATCATTTTTGTTCATTATCCTTCATAAACATATCGCCATTGTTCAGTCTATTTAAACTGTTTTGTATGATTTACTTGTTAAATTAATACTGTTCAAAATAGGTTAAGTATCGGCATAATGTATAACCTAACCAGAATGGCATAATGTATATTAAGATACATCAAGCGCCACGGGATACAAAACAAAATTGAATAAAGACAACAATATTTACTTATAAAACGTTATATAATTTAATTTCTCCAATATGCAACAACTTACACCAAGATGATAGACCAAGATCAATATTCATAAAATGGCACCTATAGATTTCAAAATTTAATGTAGATTCAGGAATACCAATTAAGAATACCGATAGCAACAATAATTATTCTCAAATCTTCGAAAATCTCAATTAAACTAAAAATCTTAACTAAACTAAAAACAAGTACATTCCTCCAAGATGCCCCAAGTGCAGCAATCGTAGCAATCTAAATCTCGCGATCGTCTCTCGCAATCACGGCTAGATTGAGACTCAGTCACCTCGAAACGCCACGAAGCTTGAACAAAAGCACGCGCGCTCGGACAAAAGCTAAAAAGAAATGGTGTGATTGCGCCTTGAGAATTCAATGGTAGCCACATTATGGAGGGTTCGCCTTTACAATGCCATGTCTGCACCGCACATTTCAAAGCTTCGCACAAGCGATTGCTATTGATCGATGAAACGACTCGATGATTTGGCTTCGCTCCGATGGCCGGGCATTTCGTTGAGCTGAAAATTCAACGTGAAAAGAAAGAGCAATATCGATGGGATGCATTCAACAAGGAAAAAAAGTCAATAGCGACTGCAAGTTGTTTGGAGGTGACAAGTGTAGGTTGCGTGACAATCTTATTTTTATGAAATTGTAATCCAGTTTTCTCTCATCACTGAAAAAGTTTTAAAAAATCCATAGTCGGTGTATATCTTATTTTAATGGAATTGTAATCCAATTCTCTCTCATCACTGAAAAAGTTTTAAACTCTGAGATCGTTTATACTTTATACTATATTGTTTACTGAAGAGTGATGAGCTCGTTCATTTTGAAGATAACACCAAATCTCTAATAAAAATCTTTTTACCCAAACATTTAATAATATTTATTTTTTTGCCTTCACTTTGATTGCCCTCACGCAACTCATAACATCCCTCACACTTTGGCGCCCTCACAACTCTCAAAGTTCCTCTTGGTGGCGCAGCTTCTACTTTACAGCCCTCGTGCCTCCCTCTACTGCCGGTAATTCTTCCCTTTAGTGCCCTCACTCCCCACCTTCTGCCCTTACAAGTCCTCGCCCACTCCCCTCTCGCCCACTCTACTCCCCTCGCGCCCACTCTGGCCCACTCCCCTCACTCTACTCCCCTCTATTAGAAGCCGATTACGTCGCGGCTGTAAAAGGCAAAGCGTGTAGCGCCGCCAGCCGAGCCTGCCTCCGCCATACGAGGCAGCCGCTGACGTCGTCCTCTCTTAATTATACGGCGAGAACAATTGATCACTTATTTATTGTTATTTGTACTGACAGCATGCGAGAACAATTGATCAGTTATTTATTGTTATTTGTACTGGCAGCATGCGAGAACAATTGATCACTCATTTATTGTTATTTGTACAGGCAGCATGCGAGAACAATTGATCAATCATTTATTGTTATTTATACTCGCAGCATGTGTGAACAATTGATCACTCATTTATTGTTATTTGTACTGGCAGCATGCGCGAACAATTGATCACTCATTTATTGTTATTTGTACTGGCAGCATGCGAGAACAATTGATCACTCATTTATTGTTATTTGTACTGGCAGCATGCGAGAACAATTGATCACTCATTTATTGTTATTTGTACTGGCAGCATGCGAGAACAATTGATCACTCATTTATTGTTATTTGTACTGGCAGCATGCGAGAACAATTGATCACTCATTTATTGTTATTTGTACTGGCAGCATGCGAGAACAATTGATCACTCATTTATTGTTATTTGTACTGGCAGCATGCGAGAACAATTGATCACTCATTTATTGTTATTTGTACTGGCAGCATGCGAGAACAATTGATCACTCATTTATTGTTATTTGTACTGGCAGCATGCGAGAACAATTGATCACTCATTTATTGTTATTTGTACTGGCAGCATGCGAGAACAATTGATCACTCATTTATTGTTATTTGTACTGGCAGCATGCGAGAACAATTGATCACTCATTTATTGTTATTTGTACTGGCAGCATGCGAGAACAATTGATCACTCATTTATTGTTATTTGTACTGGCAGCATGCGAGAACAATTGATCACTCATTTATTGTTATTTGTACTGGCAGCATGCGAGAACAATTGATCACTCATTTATTGTTATTTGTACTGGCAGCATGCGAGAACAATTGATCACTCATTTATTGTTATTTGTACTGGCAGCATGCGAGAACAATTGATCACTCATTTATTGTTATTTGTACTGGCAGCATGCGAGAACAATTGATCACTCATTTATTGTTATTTGTACTGGCAGCATGCGAGAACAATTGATCACTCATTTATTGTTATTTGTACTGGCAGCATGCGAGAACAATTGATCACTCATTTATTGTTATTTGTACTGGCAGCATGCGAGAACAATTGATCACTCATTTATTGTTATTTGTACTGGCAGCATGCGAGAACAATTGATCACTCATTTATTGTTATTTGTACTGGCAGCATGCGAGAACAATTGATCACTCATTTATTGTTATTTGTACTGGCAGCATGCGAGAACAATTGATCACTCATTTATTGTTATTTGTACTGGCAGCATGCGAGAACAATTGATCACTCATTTATTGTTATTTGTACTGGCAGCATGCGAGAACAATNTGGTTCACACCACCGCATGCCACAGTGGTTCTGCACGTGATCGCACGTGTGTACGTGTCAGCCTTAGCCTCGTACACGCGTCGCGACTTCAACGATCAATTTTTGAACCGCATTCAACTGAAGCGGTTATCAGAATATAAACTTTTTTTGCGATGAATTCAGTATTTTTTTATATTCTAATGTTACTAATTTTTTATTTATTATTTTAATTTAATTTGCCACGATCAACTGTGTAAGTAAGGTAATCTACACAGAAAGTTTAAATAACAATATAAATGGCATTCAACAGCCATTTCGTGCCGAACTATCTTGCAATGTTATGGCACTTCTGCAGTGTTGCCATACTGCTGCAGTGTTGCCATGCTGCTGCAGTTTTGCCATACTGCTGCAGTGTTGCCACACATCTGCAGTGTTGCCATACTGCTGCAGTGATGCCATACTGCTGCAGTGTTGCCACACATCTGCAGTGTTGCCATACTGCTGCAGTGTTGCCACACATCTGCAGTGTTGCCATACTGCTGCAGTGATGCCATACTGCTGCAGTGTTGCCATACTGCTGCAGTGTTGCCACACTGCTGCAGTGATGCCATACTGCTGCAGTGTTGCCATACTGCTGCAGTGATGCCATACTGCTGCAGTGATGCCACACTGCTGCAGTGATGCCATACTGCTGCAGTGATGCCATACTGCTGCAGTGTTGCCACACTGCTGCAGTGATGCCATGCTGCAGCAATGTTGCCAAACTTTTGCAATATTATAACACTATTGTAGTGTTGCCACACTGCTGCAGTGATGCCACACTGCTGTAGTGTTGCCATACTTCTGCAGTGTTGCCAACCTTTTCAATATTGTAATACTATTGAAGTGTTGCCACACGGCTGCAGTGATGCCATACCGCTGCAGTGTTGCCATACTG